TGGAGAAACCTGTTTCCAAACCTTGATACAAACTTTGAGTCTACAGAGAGAAGGCAATGGGTTCATCAACAGCCACCTGTCCACCCACAAAGATCAAATGGAGCAACAGGACTTCACAGGCCACAGCTGTGGGATGCTTCATTCCATGCAGACAGACTACAGATGTAGGATGGAGGAGCACCGTTACCACAGACAGAAGCCATGGGTGTGGGATGGAGGAGCAGAAGCTAGTGTCCCCCAGGGGTTTGTAGCTCACACCTTGCACAAGTGTGAGCCTACCTTTCTGTTCCTTGCAGCTTACCTCATGTTGAGTACTTTGTAGAGTAGTGGTGTCTCTGATGAACTTGTTTCCTGGATTTGCATCTTGTGAATTTTTGTTTTTTATATTTTTGTTGTTAAACATTTGTATAAATTGTAAATACATTTGGTTTACTACAGTAAAGCCTTTAGTACCAATAAGCGGTCTTCCTCTATGGTGGTCTTTATCCATGCTTTGGGATTTATAACTAAGGTTCACACAGGCACACTGGTAGAGCTAAGTTTTAAGTACATTTGTTACTTTACATATATATTGGACCATGAACTTCTGCTGTGTTAGAAATGAACCCATCAAACACTTAAGAGTTACCTGAAATGAAGGAATAGGAACTGGGAATAGCTGCCGTGGTCCCAATTACAGTTTTAACTGTGGAAGCTGAAATTACTTTGAGGCCCATTCTTTGGTATAAGATTGACTTATGTGATTAAAGACCACAAATTATTAGCATGATTTTTGTTTAGTTTTTAAAGTTATATGATGCAGGCTGGCATGGAACTCACCATGAACTCCTGGCAGTCCTACCTCCACTGAGATTACAAGATTGTGTCGCCATAGCCAGCTTTTTAAAGTTAATTTAGTGTGCGTCAGTGTACTGTGTCCCCCGTACCCCTGATCCCTGTTTTGTCTTCTTCCCTCTTCTCACTCCAGAGTCCCCCTTCTGCTTTCATGTCTCACACTGTGTGTTTGGGTGAATGGTTCAATCCAGACTGTACATATGAGGAAAAAATATGTGATTTTTTTCTTCAAGGTCAAAAAGTAAAGTTCTGTCTTCTCTGGGTGGCTCACTGAGAGCCAGATTCTCTTTTTTCTAGGAAGTCTGCATTTTTAATGTTCTTCCATGTTCTTTTGCATTTCGAGAAATGTGTAGATGGACATGAGTTTTTGTCTTATGCTTTCTGATGCTCAGAAGGTTATAGAGTTTATGTTCCTAGAAAAGGGAGGTGAAAACTCAGCTGGTTCTGTCTTCATTGGTACTGATTTGATTTATTATGTTAATTTACTTACTCCAACGTGCCTTGCCCAGTTCATCTCATTAGGGCTGTCCTTGGGCTCCAGCCGTTGCAATTTGTCATTAAATTTTTGTCATTTTTGTGCACAAGCTTTTACTAATTTGATTAGATGAAATCTGTAACCCTGGGCTTTTAATAAGTTACTGAACGTGTTTTCTTCTGAGACGGCTCTGTGACTCATTCTTTGTATACTTGTTGTGTCAGAAAAGAGTGGCTGGTGATTTTTAAGACAATTTTCTTAATTATTTAAAAATACCCACCACCTAAGAAATTTTCCACATTCTTGTTCTCTTAGCAGTGAGTCAGGAGTTGGTCTTTGTTTTTCATTGATTACCAGGACCTTCTTTTTGTATATTTAAAAACATTACTTTGTTTTTTCATGTTTACAAAATTTGTTAAATACTTTCACTTCTCCTTAAGTGAATGGTAAACCCCTAATGCTGAAAGCCGACTTCTTTCCCCTTCGTGATACAGTGACACAGGTCTATGAGCTACAGGGTGTATTTATTGGTTAGTATAGTGTGTGCCTCCCTCTTCTCTCACCTCTGTCTTCCAACTTTTCTCTAATAGTAAAGATACAATTATCATAACAGATACCTAACAATATAGTGGCAGAAAAGCACAAGACTCTCAAACGCCAGACTCGGACTCAGGTGCAGAGCAGTGTGACTCTAGGCTCACAAGCTCACTTCCAAGTAGCACTGGGAAGGACTAGAAGTGTAGGGATACAAGGGGGTGAAAAGAAGTTGTTATAGCCCTTCCATTTACCAGTCTATTTGCTGAAACAAAGTCCTGTGGTCTGTCTGGCCAAAAGGGAGGTGGCACATGCAGAGAAGTCAACCTGGGGAGGGGAGATGCGATTATGGGAAACTGTCCAGATAGTTGTTTCCCACTTGTATAATGGAATGGTAAAACTTATGCCTACCTAGTGTAAGGACTTGAGGATCAAAATGGATATGTTAGCAGCATATAGTAGCACCAGTCTCACAAATGGAACATGAATAGCGAAAGGATTTCTTCTAAACTGTGATGTTAAGTGTACCTCAGTACTCCTTCCCCTGTCAGAATGGAATTCTGTGACTGTTGATACCCAGAAAGCAACATGTCTGTATACCCCTTGCCTTGAACATGGCATGGCACAATAGGGTTTCAGCAATTCAAACTGAAGTAAACATTGGTCCCTTCAATGTGCCAAGAGCTGTGCTAGGCGATTTCCACATGTAAAAATACCAGGAAATGGTTGTTACCTCTAGTTAACTAACAGGTTCTCAGGGAAGCTGTGTCCCCATGGCTACAAAGGTCATTGAACTGAAGTTCAGATTCTGCTGTGAGCTTTGGGGCTCTTTCAGATCTGGGATGTTTTTTCCTTCATGTCATTTAAGTGTTCATAGTATGCACAGTTCTTTTCTCTATAACACTGTAGGATATATATATATATATATAATGTTCCCAGTGATTGGTAATTTATGTATTTTTCTGCATTCTTTTTACTAACAAATTATATTTTACATAGTTAACCAACCCCAGCCTGATCGCCTGCCTTGTAATTTTTCTCTATCATGTAGTTTTTCTATGGAGTTACTTAAAAATATCAAAAGCCCCCACGAGATTTGTTTTTAATACCTTTTTTTTTTCTCTATCCATTGATGTTTTTAGCACTTACTGTGTGGTAAGAAGAAAACATTTTATAGGTATGATGTTTAACATTTACTAGGTCTCTGTTAATGAGGCACTAGAGCAGCTGTTTCTTGGTGGCTGATAGGTGTGGTTTGGAGGAGTTAACTCAGGTGTCCTCACTGGTAATTTGCAGGTGACTGAAGCACATTTAAATAGTGATTTTTAAAACTGAACTTTCACCTGGCCTTGAGGATGGAGCGTTCAAGGCCAGCCTGGGCACTATAATCAGCTTCATGCCTCGCCCTCTGTACACCTGTTAACACTCTATAATTTTAAGGAAAGACAGAGTATCATAATTGCAGATTCTGCTTTATCATATGAAAGGAGAGCTATACACCAATTAGCCAAAAGAGAGAAGGTAGAGATAGAAGTCTCCATTAAGGGCCAGTTAAAGGAAGGCTGTTCCTGGTGACAGTGGCTATTTTTTATTATTTTTATTTTATGTATGTGAGTGTATTGATTGTATGTAGGTAGGTACACCTGTGTCATTCAGTGCCCACAGAGATCAGCAAAGGGCATCAGAGTACTTGGAACTGGAATTAACAAGAGTTGTTAGCTGCCATGTGGGTATTGGGAATCAAACCTGGTCTTCCGCAAGAGCAGCCGGTACTCTTAACTGCTGAGCCATCTCTCCAGCCCCAACAGTGGCTATTTTTGTAGGCGTTTTTTTCTTTAGTTCATTTTAATCTACTCTCATGTGTAATCAAAAAAGTAGAATCTGAGTTGTATTTCCAGCCCTGGACAGTGATATATGATTACTATCTAGCAAAGGATTTCCGGTAAAGAGCAAAGACATCTCAGTGTTAACCCAAATACCCTGCCAATCACTTGGACAGGAAACTGTCCCTCAGGAAACCTGTGTGTTTCAAAAAACGTAGATAATATAAGGCCTGCCTTACCATGTATGTCCACACAGTGGTATCTTTCACCATTGACCACTCTCAACATTGAGCATTTTACTTTACTCTAATGAACCATGTCAATATTTCTACATGGCACTCTGTCATAGATTACAAGGACCTAGAGCCCACAAGAGGCCAGAGTGAGATCCTGGAACAATATGGCTTTCTAAATGCTTTCCAGCAGACCAGAGAGGGACTGGAGACCTGATTTCCTAATGTTTAGTTCCATCTAGAGCCTACTGCCTGGCCATGGTGCCATTTCTAACCCTTTACACTGCTGTGGGCCCCGTGTTGATTATTTTTTAGAACTGTCTCATGAAATTATCCACTAGTTTCTGTAGAAGAATCATTTTTACCCAGGTACTTTAACTAGCAGCGATTCAAGGCTTCTTTTGACCATTTATCACAGCACTTTATGAACAGTTAAAGGTTTTGTTCTTAAGCATATGTCTGTGTTTCTGTAATGTCAACCTTTATTCTGCATCAGAAACTGTCAGAGGATACTGAAGAATCTCATTTCTGGGTCTCCTCAGAGTAGCTGCTTTGGTAGGTGAGTCTGAGTGGGACCTGGAAATCTAAAGCATGTTCTCAGGTGATCCCCAGAGTAGATCTATTTGGTAAAAAAGCTCTTTGAATATGCTCATATTCTAAAGCTACAATGCCTCCTATGTTTGGGCTCTGTGGAATTAAAATGTGGGTGTTTAAAATTAAAATCATCATCTGCTGCATAAAGAACTTCTCCTGTGAAAGCTGAGAGATGCATTACTCTATGGGTATAATAAGTCATTAGGACTCTACTAAATACAACTATTTAGTAGAAAACTAGTATTGGGTTCTCCCCTACCCCCTGTGTTCTGCCCAGCCTCAGGTTCCTAAGCCTGATATCAATGTAAGCTATGGGCTCCATCCTATGAAGTGGCCTTATATATTTAAAGGGAATATACTACAAGCCCACAGCCAACATCATAGTAAATGGAGAAAAACCAATAGCACTTCCACTAAAATCAAGAGCAAAACGATGTCCATTCCTGTTCAATATAGTATTTGAAGTGTTAGAGCAATACACATACAAAGGAGATAAAGGGGATACAAATTAGAAAGGAAGAAGTGAAAGTATCAGATGATTTGATTCTACACATTAAAGTCTCCACCAGAAAACTAAAGCTGGTAAATACCTTGAGCAAAGTAGCAAGATAAAAAATTAATACCCGCAACTCAGTAGCTTTCCTATATACCAACAACAAACATACCAAGAAAGAAATCAGGGACAGGATCCCATTCATGATAGCCTCAAAATCTATAAAATATCTTGTAATAAATCTAACAAAGGAACTGAAGGTCTTGTACATTAAAGAAAGAAATTGAATACCAGCCATGGTGGCATACATCTAATCCCAGCACTCAGGAGGTAGAGGCAGGTGGGTTTCTGCAATTGCAGGTAGCCTGGTCTACATAGTGAGTTCCAAGTCAGCTGGGGCTCTGGGAGAGCCTGTCTTTACAAAACAGAAATTGAAGAAGACGGAAAGACCTCATGCTCATGGATTGGTAGGA